CAGCTTATCTCTCCCCCCAAACCCCTCCCTGTGGCCCCGTGCCTTGGCTGTGGGAGCTGGGAGGCAGATGCCATGTGGGCCCCCAGTGTGCTGTGTGTCTGTGGCCAGTGTAGGGTTCAGTGCTGAAGGGATGCTCTTTTGATTCAAATGTGTGCATATATTTGTGTGTGTTCTTCATCTGGAGCGTGAAAAATGACTAAATATGGACAACATACACACACACCTGATACTAAAGATTTGATGCGTTAGAAAATATGATGTAATTACTACTTACTTAACGATTGGCAAGTCAAGGCAAATTTATCTGTATGGCACAAATCTTACACAAATGAATTCAAAGTGCTTTGCAGAATAAGAAAGACATTAAAATCACAATACAAACTAATCAAAACATAAATAATCTTCATAAAACATTAAAAGACAAAAGAGTGCATTAAAAAAAAGTAAAAATTCAGTCAGAACTGTTTTTAGACTGAATTTAAAGGTGCATTGTGTAACTTTTCTGGTGGAGGGTGTGTCAAATGCTTTTCTCCGTGGACATTGCCATGACATAGCTTTCTTTGGAATGTTTCACAGTATGGTATTTGACCTTTCTATCTTCATGGAGATCAAACCAGACCAAGTTATAGGTCAGATTTGTGGGGAATGCCTGGTTTTCTTTCTATTTTTGAGCCTTAAAACCACCTGTAATTTAATAAATGTAAGGTAGAGCTACAGAGTTATATAGTGCAGCTTTAAAAATGGCTATGCCAGCAATAACTAGGCCTATCCACATTAAACAAAAAGTGAAACAAAATTAACTTTTCTCTGTCAGCAAAAATGTACAGTGGCATTTTATGCAATAGCCGTATTCAGTTACACAATGTTGTCTGCAGTCTGTTAAAACATGCTTTACTGTGTTACGTAGCTCCTCATTTCACATGGATTTCATGTGAACAGATTCTATAGTATGACATAACCTGCTGAAATGCATTTTTTTCTTATTAACTAAGTTATTAACTTATTATGAAGCTATATAACATATTAACCATAGACTATAGAGGTGGACTAAGGAAGTGTGATGTCACCCATAGAGTTTAGCTCCAGTCAAATGAAGCTCACAAGGCTAGCTGTTATGGGGTGAATTGGGAGCAAAGTTCCATATTAGAACAAAATAGCAAAATAAAAACACCCGGATCATGTAATGTAGGTTAATATAAGCATTTTAAGAGAAAAAGGAGGGTGACTGCAGAAGTTACAGAAAAAGGTGTGACATTTTTTCATGCAAAGTCAATTGGAATCGATGGAGCCAGAAGTGCACCATGCTCACTTCCTATGTGCTAGCGGGTTGAGGAGGGTCGGTCTGCAGCATGGGCATTCCAGACGTGCAACAGAAACTCCATAATGGGCATTCCTGTAGTGTGTAATCAACCAAACAGAAAGAGTTTCGCACTCTTCCACTTTTTCACTTCTTCTTGGCAAAAGCCTATACTGTCTATGGTCAAAGCAAAACAGTAACACGTGTGTTTCACAAGAGCTTGGCGTGAGTCTTGATGTTAGCTACTGATAGGCCGCATAGCCATGCTATCGTTAACTAACCTGTTAACTTGGTTGCTTTCTTTGTCAGTGTACATACTGGAGAGGGTCTGATCACATTCTAACATCATTTTGTTTATGTACATTTGCTCAAACTATACAAATAAATAATACTTATGGACATAGCCTCTCATGAAACACACATTGTTGTCGCTTTGTTTCAACCACTGAAGTTCATGTTTTTACTACTCGGTACAGTCATCATATATATATATACACATCTGTATATGTCTATGGGTTCAGTGCTAATGTCAATGTACAACCCTTACTTTGACATACTGTATATGTTAGACCGGATGTTGACAGTTCCTCATGGAAGAAGAGGAAAACGGGAGGCATTCCCGTTTAGGGAAGAAAAGCTCATTTATGTTTTGCAGACCAACGATATTTAGCAGGTTAGCTATGACCATTTATATATAGACTCTACGGCATTAACTTTATTAGGAGTTTTACAACACAAATTTTCATAGTGTATCTGTAATTGTATGAATTACAGTGATGGTGTTTCATTCCTAAACATCATCATGTTCAGCATGATTAATTTGAATGTACTTGTTTTAAATGATTGCATCCCTCTGGGTTACTTCATTCTTGTCCAGAGTATCAGATTTCTTTCATCCTAAATTTGAAAGAACTTCATTGCAAAAGTTTAATCACTGAAACACATATGCAGATGGCCCCGCTGAGACATCTCATTTTTTAAAAGGGGGGTCTTGAAAACCATCTCTTTCCCTCAGAAATGATGTAAAGTCTTCACAAAACACTGTTCTAAATATAGAGTGAAAATCTGCTGCAGATTAGCTGGCACTGCACTGATGGCTCTATAAGGCGGAGGCAGAGCTGTCTTCCATCCTTGACTGGCACCGCTTTGAACCGCACCACTCCACATCCTGTCGGCACTAGTTAAATACTGCAGCTCCAAGACTGTATATTAGGCCTTCTGTGAGAGAACTAAGGCTCAATGAGTATTTCATGAAGTCAGTGGAAATCCTATGTACTTCAATGTCTAGCGAAAAGAACTGCGGTAAAGCTGGATAACTAAGGGGAAGACGTATTTGACTTGAGGGCTAACTGAACATGATAGAAGATTCCAAACTACAGCAAATTGGGGATATTTGCCAGAATTCTTGTATTTCTGAGGGCAAAGACAAGCGTGGTGTAATGTAGGAGTCTGTAGCCTTTGATGTGTGATCATAAATGCGCATGTCTATACCAGCAAATGCACAAAGCACCAGATAAAGACCGCAGCGGATGACCCATTTTACACAAGCAGGAATTTGCAGTCAAAATGAAATGGCGTGAGGGAGAACACAACTTATATTTTACAAGTGAATTACTGTAGTGGCTAGTATCATCAGTGAAGATTTTGTTTTTTTTAACTCCTAGACATATTTCATACATATTTTATTGTTCATGAATGTACACGTGACTGCTTTCAACACAGTAAATGAGGTGAAGATTCAAATATAAAAAGTGACTTATCTGTCACTCTGCAGGGGTGGAATAACAGTTCTCACCTTTCTATTTAGTTCCTTAGTTCATTCATCTTCTTCTTTCTGATGCTGTATATTCACAACACTGTGCCTTTATTTGTTAAATGTAATAAATCATATACAAATGTTTACTTCTTCATGTTCATCACCCATGAAAGAAAGTGAGAGTTTTGCAGATAATTTAATAAAAAAATAATATAATTATGATGTGAGAAGATAAAACACAACAGAATGGAATTCAAAGCAGAGAAAATAATAGTAGTTTCTGAAATATTGCCATGTAGGCTCACATTATGATTCTTAAACTAATAAGAAAAGGTCCAAGTTTGTCCTTTTTAAGTGATTTTTCCACTATTGATATTTTCAAAAGGGTACTGACTCTTGTGAGCTTTTGAGCTTGTTATGTTTTTGATGAGGAAACAACATTAAAACATAGATTTGAATACAGCGTAATATGATTCCTTTAAAAAGCAACCACCCAAGGACAAGGTCTGGCTGATGATACAATAAAACAGGAATAAACCGCACAATGGTGAGGCGACAAAACCACAAGCACAAGAACATGCTACACCAGCAGTTTTAATAATCATTGTTTCAGAGATAATGTTTTGTGTGGAGATAAAACATTGCTGTTACTACTACTCAGCACACTGGAAGGATGTAACTGGAACCTCTGAGCCATCCATGTCAAATGTGGGTGTCTTCCATGAAGTGAAAGAAGTGATGAAGAGGAGAGAAGATGGAGGGAGGGGTAAAAGAAGTGCCACAAGGAGCAGAGTACTGGTCGACCCATGGCAGCAGTCAACTGGATGTGAAAACAAGAGAAAGCTTTGGAGAATATTGATTTAATGCAGGAGACTGGGCGTACGGGCGAAGATGTTCAGCCCCACATTACACACGCTCTATTTCCCACCTATGAACACCAAGCCCTGGTTTCTCTGCCTTCTCACTCACAAGGAGCCTCCCATGTTCTTTTATGTGCTCATTCCAACTGTGCCGATGTGAAAACATGAGTATAAATATGTAATAACCTTCTTTGTCTGCATACATCAAGGGATCTGAAAGAGGAACCACCCACCTCCGCACCTCTGCTTCCATGTCTCCTTTTTTTTAATTAGCTCCACTTCTGATAAATAATTGATTAGATGCACCAATTATTGCCTTGTATTTGATCTTATTATGTGGGTTGGATGGATTTTCCGACTTTGGGATAAAACAAATTGGCAGAAATGGGAATTCTTATAGAAAATACACTTCCCATGCACAAAGCCTACATGTCCATTTCAGGTAAGCATTTAACCTTCATACTTGTTATGTCTTTATAGTTTGACACTGCTTATGATGTAGCATGTGATTCTCCTAATTAAAAAAAAAATCTCATTGGTTTATTGGGCAATTCAGTAAAAGCCAAAATGTATTTGTGTTGAAAATGATAACTTTTTGATACATAAAACTGTGTTAAATTAAAGAGAATAGCAGGTTTTGAATGAAAAGTCAGCATTGTCTTTTTCGTTCGTGTCCCTTTCAGTCACTTCCCAAGTTAAGTTGATACTTCGGTGACAAATACTCAGCTCTTTGGAACAATTTGTTACTTACTGCCTCCTCCTCTTTGCTAAAATGATGAACATCAACACACACGCGCTCACGCACACACACACACACACACACACACACACACACACACACACACACACACACACACACACACACACACACACACACACACACACACACGCACATACATTCTTGTGCACAGCCTCAGAGTGTGTAGGCGCCTCCTGCTCGCCTCTCCACGCGCCCTGGGCCAATGACGTGCGTGGCAGCCTTATCATGCTTCTGCTGTATTGGCCAATGGGGCGCCTGAGTCACGTCACATGACGGCTTTCTGTTCGCCGTTTCTCCACACAGCGCTCTATCCCGGCGAGTGTAAGCATCACTTCGGACCTGACACCGGACACAGCGGACCTCCACTACACTCGTGTCTTCTCCGTGGCGTTCTATCTCCAGCGCGAAACTAAAAAACTCGTCCTGTGAAGTGGAGCGTCTATACCGCGAGGACCCTGAAGTGTGCCTGCCGTCCCCACATGACCAGAGGATCGCGTGTGCAAGACAATAAGGCTGCGAAGTTATGAAACTGTAAGTAAGCCGTTATATCAATTAATAATTCATTCCAGCTATAAAATGCTAATGTTTCTATTACGCGTAATGATGCGCAACGCAACTTGTCTAGATTATTTCAAGTTTTATTCTCATTTTCATTCATTTCATCTAAAGTTTAAATACGAACATTTTTCTAATGCATTCCATCTAATTAATTTATTATGTTCCCCCCACCTATTTCTGCGCGTAAAAGCGCACGGGGCACTGTCCACGCAACGCGAGCCAAAGCATGAAAAATAGATAAAAAGAACACTTTAAACTCTCTGACCTCAGGCAGACAGGCTGTGCAACCGGTCCCCACAGCTCATGAGGACAATTATGGCGGGCCAAGGGGGCAAAAATTAGTAGTTACGGTTGAACAAGGCTGCACTTAACTTCAAGCTGCTGAACAAGAGGGTGGATCTCTCATCTGTGAAATCCTGTCTTTATTTCAGCAAAGAAAAAAAGCAATTTATGTCCGTTTTCAGTAGTTTTGACAGTTAGTTCGGAGGTCAAGTCACTGATCCTTTTTATTGATTGGAATTAGGGAGTCATACAGAGAGCAAGATTTATGTCAGTGTTGAAGTGGCTAAAAAGAAAAGTCCACGATTTTTTTTTTCTTCCATGATTTCTGCACAATCAGTAGGGACAAGCTGGAGGGGGGGACCGGTTCCATTTGATGTTTTGAAAGGCTTCAGATGGCTTTAATTAGGACCTATAAAATCTGTCTGCCCCATTCTCTAAGGCGGCACTCGGCTCTGCTCTGAAGAAGGGAGGGAATTGGCACACACACACACACACACACACACACATCTACACTCTAAGAAAAGAAAAAAAAAGCTACACAGAATGTCACTTCAGCAAAAGGATCGTCTAATGAAATTTTTATAACCTTTTTTTTTCCTACGGTATGAAGGCGCTCTGGTTATCTCTTTGTCTGTCTCTCACTCTCTCACCCCTCCCTCCTTCTATCCTCGCACCACCCCTTCACCCTATAACTACCACCTACAGTCAGCCTGACCCCGAACACCTGAAGGCTAGACATAATGATCAAGAAAAGTTCCTGTCTGTCTGGAACATGCTCTTGACGTCTCCTCCTCCTGTGTCTTCTGTGCTGTCCCCCTATTGGCCTGACTTTTCCTTGCTGTTCTCTCTGAAGTTGTCTTGGGACCACATTAAAAAACATGCTAGGTTGTTTGTGACTTTGTTAGGCACGAATTTAACTGGGTTTCATTGCTACTGCTTGCCACTGTGTTGCTTGTATGAATGCGAGTGAGTCATGTCGCTGCAATAGACGGCTGCAGTGTTGAAGGAAACATCAAAGAGTTCCTCTAAGTCTTTGTGTATGAGGGAGAGGATTCAGCTGTTCTTTTGAGTGCTACCAATGCACACGATATGACGAGCACTAAGAATTTTAAATGCTTTTTTACACTTTAGTTTAATCATTTCTTTTCACCTTTCAAAATGTTGGAAATCACCATAATATTGATTTTTGTGTATAGTTATTGAATGGATTAATATATGCTAAGACAAAGACTGGGGCTTGCTGGATACTATTGATTTGAATGCTGTTCAAATTAGACTGCAAGTAGTTTTTTGTACTTTTATTCCATAAATGTAGTTACATTTTCATAATATAACCAATATAATGTATTGTTGAAATGTTATTGCTGGTCTATCTCCTCTAATCATTTGCTTTATTAATTTGGTAGACATTTTAATTGTATCTTTTTGTCTCCGTTAGATAGTCTGGCGTTACATCTTCGAGCTGCTTTGAAGTTACCACGATTATAAATTAGCTTGCATGGTTGGAAAATAGCTGGTTAAGCGCTAAGGCTTTGTTTGACACCTTATCTTGAAAGCAGCGAGAAATCTCACCAAGTCATTTTTATCCTCTTCCCAGGCATGGAGCATGTATTAATTTAAATTGTTTGTTTGAAGATTATATTTTACACCCATTTGGACTTGTGTAATATAATCATTTCTGCATGGCGCAAACATTTGAGGATTTGCACAGACTCCAGTCCAAATCTTGCCACTTGTTTGTGTGCTTCTCCAAACTGTCTGTGTGTGTATCATGGCATGAGGGAGAATGAGGTTGTCTCTTCTTCTGCCACCATCATCCTTTGAAGAGGGAAGTCATAAAAACTCAATGGCTGCTACAAGCTGTTCCTCCCTCCTACACTTTGAGGCTTTCTACCTGCACATGAATAGGAGGCCCCGCCATAACGAAGGGGAAGAAGAAGATTTTATGGAAGGCGGAGGATGTGGGGGATGCGCAAGAGCTATACAGTACGTGTGAAACAGTGCAATGGTACCTGTCACAGAAATGTCCCCATACGCATTGTAGGTATAGCACACTGGATGCTATGGTAAAATTTGGTATATGTCAGTGTAGGATATTTACATGGCCAGTAATCAGATAATAATCAGATAATGATCAGATAATCCAATAATAAGAACAGATTTTTTGCACAAAAGAAATCTCATCATCATACCCACCTGACATATGTTAGTTAGTCAATGGATTTTTAGAGCATCTGTTTTATTTGGAAGACAAAATATGATGAATTTAAATTCATCATGAATTTAAAACTTTTGTCAATCTGTACCTTTTTCCTTTGTCAAACCCTGCACATGTGTGAACAGAAAGAAAGAAATCAAATTACTCAGACAAAATACCTGTTTACATTCAATTTTAATGACCTGATAAGTACAGAAACAAGATAATGATCAGATTTTTATGTGCAAGTAAACAGCTAACAACACCCTCCTATGACATTTGCATGTTTAATATCATTTCTATGTGGTGACAGTTCACCTCTATTTGAGTTTTAAAAAAAACTAATTTAAAAACAAATCTTATGCAACCAATATTAAATCTTCTGTATAAAAAAAATCATTTCAGTATTTATGCATTCAGCATGCAGGGATGATAAACCAAAAGGCCAGAAAAATACATTTCCACCACCAATGACAATAACATTAACCAATCACCACACGACAGATTACCGCTTTTGCTAACCACATTCCCGTGTGAAGCCAGAGCAGGAATGCAAAATGGAGGAGTCATTAAATTACCGTGCATGTGCCCTCCCTGGGAAAAGTCCCCAGCCGTGAAGAGGTTAATTGTTTTTGAATCTCCATCGGAGGGAAGAAAAAAGGGCTGGATGGGAGGCATAATTGAACAGCTGATAGTTGAGTGGCTTATGGATTACTGCGCCCAAAAGAGGGAGAAATGCAAGGTGAACTGGGATAGTGGGACATGGGTGTGGGGGCGATGCCGCAGGGGCTGTCTGGATTTCTTTGGGGGGAGATGAAGAACTTCAATCCTGTTTAGTCCTACGCCGTGACCCTTGAACCCTGTCGATGCTTCTCCCACTCCAGGTGCATGTGCTCACTGCTAGAACTTGCCGGTGCCTTTCAGCACAAGCTAATTTTTCACACATTTAAGCAGCACGGGGCTTAAGAGGGTCTTTTCACCCCCACTTCTGATTAGCTTTCTGCCACTCACACGAGGATGGGGGTGTGCTGCTGAAAACTTATAAAACATTGGACAATATTGTTATAACCAAAATGAGTTCATGTGTTCATGCAGTGTTTAAAAGAGGAGAATATTCCGGCTCCTCCATACTAAAAAGATCACAACGAAATAGCCAATACCCATAACAATACAATACACTGTTGCTTATTGTAGTGTCCTAAACATCCAAAGGGAACAATGCTGCTCAAAGGACTTAAATCATTAAATAAAGGCAATGGGTGAAATTTATTCTTCACACACTGTAAATATTTACCACCCTAGTCTATATACAATATGGGAAACAGTGGGTCAGGCATACCAAATTAAAGATACTATCCATTAGCCACATCTGTCATGAACTAGTCCTACAGGAAACATGTCTGACAAAATGTCTTGCTCAAGAACACAGTGGCAGTATGAACTAGACAGTGCATCATAGCAACTTTTCTAATGCTAGCTTTGCTTTGCACACTAATAGGTAAGAACCTAAGCTTAAAGTATGTTTCACCCACACTTCTGATTAGGTTTAGACCGCTCCCAAAGGTTAGAGATCTAAAGCCTGCTTAGTGGGGCAAGGGCACCCTGTGATAACATCTTCTTTTTTCTTACTCTAAAATATGGATGAGCGCAAAGAGGATCTGACATGGTGCAATAATCTTACTGGTGTTAATCAGAGGGATGTCATGTATAATTACAAGTGTGTTTGATAATGCTACAGACAACCACCTCAGGCCATGAGCGAAAAGTTTCCTGATGCTATTAAGGGGCGATAATAAAATTCAAGAATACCCGAATGGTACGAACCCAAGTGCATGGCCCGCTGATTAAAGCACTGTAAGGTTAATGAACCAATTTACATACGTTCTGCTGCCATCTGGGCGGAGTGACGAGGCAGATGCTACCCCCACTGCAATACAAAGGAATGTGCGGTTTGTGGAGAGCTAGGACATATTTAACACTGGTGCTGAAGGCAACTAGAAGGATCAGAATAAAATTAGAAAGCATCTGTAATTTCAGTTTTCTCTGCAGTTATGAAAGACAGCATGATTGATCCCAGAACACACTTTGAATATTAATGGTGTTGAGGGATGGATAAGACCTGCTCGGACCTGTCTGTCTTATATCATTTAGCATGCCAAAATTGCCAGCTAGAATGCAGCAATGTCAGTTTTACCTTTGTCTTTATGGAGGTGGCCATGGCACAGTTGGTTAAGTATTTGCCCACAAACTGGTGGCTCTGTAGTACTTAACAGTGTTTGTAACTGGTTATGACTGGAAGGGCATCTAATATAAAACTACCAAACTCACTGTGCGACTGGTTAGCTACTAGTTGTACATGTAGTTGTGCAAGTAATAACTAAATGTAGATGTAAACAAGTAGCGAAGGTAGTAGTAGTAACACTGCCAAAGGAGAAGCACATAAGTATCCAGCAGTACTGTGTTTTGGACTCTACGATTTGATTTTGATCAATAA